TCTGAACACCTTCTGGTCTGTCTTTGCCTAAATTGATTCTCATAGTGTCATCATCAATCTGTTGCATTATTTGTATGTCACCTTGAGTAATTCAGCTTTTCCACACTGTATACCCTTTAAGTGTCGGTGAATTTTCAGTATCATGCCCTGTGGGGAGAGTATGTTCTGCTGTCTAGTTTTGTGAATTTTTGTGAGAACAAAATGTGTACAGCCTCCCTCCCTTTCTGCACATCCCTACTACCTCTATCTCTCATGAAGTATCAAATTGTTCTAATACGTTGAATTATTCTTTATGAGAAAAAGGCCCCAGTGCCTGTAAGGACTGCTTTTCCCCTCCTGTTTCATTATGAAAAGCTGATTAACCAATCTGCACCCATAACACTCAAAATTTGAATAATTTACCTTTTGAGTCTCCCTAGATCTTTTGTTTTTCCCTCTTTCCTAGTCTCATGTTATTCTGAAACAGGAATAGCATTTCATTATTTCTGGTAAGTTGAAACACAGCGAAATTTATTTGTACAAGACTGCAAGGCTACTGGTGACCTTACAGCAGATAAGACATAACTTTATAACAGATAGAATGTAATAGAATAAAACAGTTGTCAAAATTTTATCTACTAACACACTTCAAGGATTAAGTATGAAATGATCATAACTGGATGGACCCAGTCTAATCACCGGTAGCTTTTACCGAGCAGATATCTGATAGAGAGGGCCTTGGTGGTGTTCACAGATCTCTTCAGCAGGTAACCTGTGCCAGGAAGCTGTCTGGAGGAAGAAATACTAATGCTGATGTAGCATGCTGACTTTCTGAATTGTGTAATATAATTAATAAAAACATAACTGGGTAATATGGTAAATTAGTGTTGCAGTGCTGCTGTTGAAGGTTTTAGTAATGTGAAATGACTTGATTATGTAGCCATCCCACAATATTTACTGCTTCCTTTGCTATATCCTAAAACTACTGAGCTATCAGAAGTTGAATGGCATTCTTTGTTGCTCATATCTTGGCCCTTTTGAGGCAAGAAAGAAAGATAAATATCAGACTAAACACATCACATTCTAACACATAATTTTTGTTCCTAATTTTCTTATTTGCTTTGTCCTTTCTTGTATTTTTGCTGTACCCTCACAGCTGTATTTACATAGCCCTCCTAAAGAGATGAATTATAACAGAGTAACATTTTAACATTGCAGTAGAAAGAATGACAAAAGGAATCTTCAGAGCAGTTAAAAATATACAGTGTAGTGGTTTGGTAGTTGAATAGAACAGCTGCATCTAGTGTGAGATGCTGTACAACAGGAGGTAGATTGCCATGTAAGGGAAAGTAACAAAAAGTTTAGATACAGTCTTGGCTATGATGGCAGGTCTTAGCCATAAGTTTTGCTGTAGCTATTGCTCAACTCAAATGCCAGGATGCTCAGTCATCTCTGTAGGACACCTCTACCTTTATGTATCAGTGGTAGATACATAAAGATGTGGCAGGGACTTGATGGGCGCAGATGTATTTTGAGATAGGCCAGGGCTAGTCTTGGGGGAGGAAGCATGTTTAGAACGATCATGGTTTGAGGAGGTGAGGAGGTAATCTTCAGTACGACACTCATTAATGTAAAAACATAGAAATAGCCTTGTCAGCATAAGGATTTGCCCAGTTTTATGTGGATGGAATTGTGTCTGTGAATTATTTTTACTTCAGTGCTAAATACTTGCAGATCTGTCAGAGACGAGCTGTGGTGTTTGTTGGTGAATTCAACTCCTCGTGTGGAATTTTTTGCCACTTATTTCAGATCTTGGTCTGGCAGTCAATAAAAATGGAGAGGAAAAAAAGAGGTCTGTGGCCACTTTAGTCTGGAGGTAGAAATCTCTTCAGATAAGACGACATGTTTTGTCACTTGCTATTTTTGCTTTTCTCTTGATACTGCTGTTTTCATGAGAACTGCCACGCAGTGAATGGTAGCTGCTCTTAATGGAAACTGCTTTTGGTATCTGTATTAGAGCCTATACATAGCTGAATTAGCTACCAGCCTCTTCAGCCAAAAGCATATTTTCTCCTCACAGCTATTTTCAGGCTTCTGTGACTTTGAAATAAACTATGTGCAATACTTGTTGCCCCTGTGTTGCCTTTTTTTTGGTTTTTGTGGGGTGTGTGTTTTTGCTTTTATGTAGGTTTTTTTGTTTTGTTTTGTTTTTTCTTACCCCAAGATGTGTGTTTCCCACAAGATTATTTCTTGGATTACTCACCTGTTAAATGAAATAAGCCTCTGTCTCTTTCTGCTCCCATGCTGACTTTTTGCATGCCACCTAACTAAAATACCGTACCACAGAATTATTTAGGATCCTTCAGTTTTTCCTTTAGCTGTCCTTGCTGATGTGAATTGTGTTGGCCTTTACAAGTTTTCTGACAGTAGTTTTATTATATCAGCTTATAATTGTAACTGACTGCTTCCTCTCTCGAGGACATTAATCCTTCAAGGGTATCATGGATCCACTGTATGTGCTTTACTGGTAATAACTGCAGTGACTCTGAATGCTTAAGTCTTTTCAGCATGTAGGTTTTTGTTGGCGTGGGGTTTTTTAGGGGGATTTTTTTTTGTTTGTTTTTTAAAGATTGCCCTGTCTTTGTGACATTGACTCTGGTTTGTCTGCCCTTATTAGACAACCCTTTATGGAAGAGTACCTACTGCTGACATTGGCAGAAGGTTTCTGTTTTTATCAGCTGAAATGCAATACTAAGGAACATGACATTACGATGCAAAACCTGTACAGTCTAATGTCTCTAATGCCTTCAAATGCTCTATATCTAATTTTTCCATAGTGAAAGAGTCAGCTTCTTTCCAGCTTTTTTTAATCTCTTGTTGATTTTAGTTGAACCTTCACGTATCCTGATGATAAACTATCATCCCTGCATGGGATAGTATGCATGAAGTCTACCCTGACTGTTTTGGGCTAAAAAGCGATCTGTTAATATATTCTGATTCAGGATGTTGTACTGGCTGGTGTGATTGAAGGAACAGCCCACATAAACATTCAATATTCTGAACTCTGACTTTCCTTTTTTATAGGAGTAATCACATCAATTTAGGTACACATTTTTGCTTCTGAAATGGTATTGGTGCTGTATTGGGGTTTTTCCTGTGTTAACTGTGTTTGTGCTAGCTCTCAACTGCTTCTAGAAAGCATTCTGAAGGAGAGATAGGAAAGAAAGAAAAATGTGAATAAGGGAAGAAGAATTCCTTGTTTCCCAGTTAAGTACAGGATCCCATGTTAGAATAGCTAATAACCATAATATGGGAGAAGGTAGGGCCTCTGAAGTTCTGCACTTTTGCTAGCTTATGTCCACGTTAAGCTGACTCTACCATCATTTCCAAACTGTGACAGAGAGGAGACCCTTTTCAGGCTTCTGTTGGTAATTATATAAAATTTTATGTTTGATTATAGTGGCAAGGGCATTGAGAATTGTTAAAAGAAATTGTTAAAGAAGTGTAAAGGTCTTCTTTACCTTCTTCTTTACCTTCTCGCCATTGTACTTACTGCTGATTTTAGTCCATTACACCAGTAATGGAATGTTACCAAAGTACATTGCCATCAGCAGAACAGTCTTCTGCAATTGTTACCAAGTGTTAGGCAAGTATTGGATAATTACTTTTTCTGTAATGGTGGTTCTATGGAGTAGAGCTAGTTTGCACTACTGCTGTTGTAGATTTGGTGAGCTATGATATTATCTTCCTATGGTGGCTGTAATCTTTGATTATTTCCACCAGATCTTTTGAGCTACAGGGCTGATTCTGTTATGTGATGTCATGCCAGAAGTAGAAGCCCTTTTGTTCAGGAGGTGTAAAAAACTACTTTTATAAAAATGCTTTTTGAAAAACAAGTCTTGAGATCTTGAAAAATATTTGAGTAGCATTGTATTTTCATTTAAAAAGCTCTGTGAATATCTTTTGAGAAATAGGAGCAGGTCTGTCTTATATTTTTAAAATACTGTGACTTTTTTTTCCCAGGGAAGACTATTAAAAGAATTGTGTATTGGTTCCAAAAGAAAAAGGAAAAAAAGAAAGAAAAAATAAGTCTTGTAAATTTTCATCCTCTGATTCCTGTGATTAGAAGGAGGCTCTTCACCCATATCTTCTCCCCTTCAGACACATACCTGAATTAACGGACTGTAGAGTTCGTACTTGCTACAGCAATGAGGGGCTTTCAACATTGGAAAGTTTCTGGAGAGACTGACGCAGCGTATTTGAAGTGTCTTAGGGAAGAAACTAAATGTTACACTTCTGACTACTGGATATTAAGCAGTTAGAGGATTTGGAATCACTGTCTCATATCCTGGAAAAATCTCTTGTTGTATTGCACGTGTAATGAAGACTATCAGTTTCAGATTATTTCACCTTTCACCTGTGTGAGCCTGGTCTTTCCCAGTTTTCTCAGGCAAGGACATTAATCTCTGTAACGTAAAAGTCTCTAGAATTTAAGGTGATTATTGCAGGTCTGGGTAGACAATACGAATCTAAAAAAATCTTATTTTGCTAGAGGAGATTTTGATGTTTGTGTTGAAGCATAAATCCAGTTGGATGGGGTTTTTGTGTTTAACTGCTTAAGTTGATATAGAAAATGTAAGATAATGTCTATACTTTGGGAAAGTGAAATGAATGTTTAACTTTATATGTGTATCTGAAAATGAAGTGTATATGTGTGTGCATGTGTACATGTGTGTATATGTGGATTTATAGGAGACAACATTATTAAATGTGTGTGAATAATAGAAACATAGAATAGCCTTGAGAGGCTGCTTTTTAAAGCAAATGCTTAATTTTCTTTCTGATATTTGTAAAGTGGTATTACTTGAATTGATGTCATAAAACTTTTTCAAAGTTAGTGAAAATACAGTTCAGTTAAATACTCTCCCTCTCCCTTCTCCAACATCTTCCATTCCATCCCCTCCACGATCCATTGCCCCCCTTTCCTCTGTTCTTCCTCTCCTTTCTTCATTCACTGTCAGGAAGGGACGCCTCAGAAGAGTCATTTCAGCTCAGCGCGCCACCGTCAGAGACTAGTGGAACCATCAGCTACAAAAGTGAGTGCCTTTATTGAAGGACCATTTCTAAAATGGAATGTTGTGTCAGCAGAGGGTTTGTTGCTAGAGAGAAGCTCTATGTGCTTGGTGGGGGATTTAGTTATTTTTACTCATCTGCAAGTAATGTAATCACTATCACTAAAGGTGAACTTCAGCACTGGATTGATTCCTCCTCAAGTGCAGCAGTTGTTTTTTTAACTTTAAAGTTGTGGGGAGATTTTTTTTGTATCTGCAAAGTGTAACAGAAACTCTATGAAAAGTTCCTCTTCACTTTTATCAGTTTGTGTGGTGTCTTTTTGTAAATCCTTGTACAGTTCGTTTGTCTCATTCTTAAACTGCAGAAGGCTTTCATTGAATAAAAAATTTGCAAGGATATGGAAATAATCAAACATTATTATCAAGCGCTATGAAGCAATACAAAGTTTCAGTGTAAAAAAATAGGCTGACATCAAAAGATTATATGAGCAGATGCAATAGCAGTACTTGCTAGTTCATAAGGCTGTTCCACCTTTTTAGAGTTGTACTCAGAAAACTTGATAGGTTCACTGAGGTTGATTTTACTATGTAACTTTTAATGAAATAAAATATAGTGCATATTTTAGAGCATCACTGTTCATCTGTATTTATTTTGTGCTACTTTTTTGTGATACTTCAGCAAATATGAAACTGTGTATCCATTACTATCATTGCCTGGAAATCCCATTTTTCACTTTATTTGAGATACTGAAGAATTGATTGCAGTATTTACGTACAACTTTTGATACAGGTTGAAGTAAGTCTGTGATAGCAGTCCTGGTTATGAAAGAAAAGCCCTGGGTCTATGTTTTGTCTTATATTTTAATTAGGATTCCAAGTACTGTTGTCATACTGATTCCTTCAGTTTTTATATGTGTTAATTCATTAGGTATTAGTAATGTTGACTTTTGCCATTTTTTTCAGCATGTAGCAACATTATCAATACTAAGATATCCTTTTGGGGGTCTGGGGAAGGGCTTTTAAAGGGGTTTAAAGAAGCAAAAGTAAGTCAAACACACACATACACCAAAAAAACCACCCCAAAGCATCTCTATCTATCTGTCTGTCTATGTGTCTGTCTATCTATCTATCTATCTATCTGTCTATCTATTTATCTATCTATCCACACACACACACAGGTATCAGCCTATACTCTTGACAAGCCACTTTCTGTGTGCATTACTGTTTACTAGAGTCAAGTAATTTCTGCAATGTGTAGAGCCTCAATGTGTAAAGGAAAAATGTCTGCTGAAGTGCAATTCTGTGGACATAAGTGTGTTAGGTTTTGCTCCCTCCTCTTACCTAGTTTACCTGTCTTTTTTCACCTTTTTAGTACCAGTACCCTACTGTATGTTTGAATATACATAGGTGTGCTGTTGAAACCTCAGTGTGGTAGCTAAGAGTAACCTTAGTATTTATTTGCTCTTCTGTTTTGTGTGGGACAGAAGGACCAGAAAGGGTCTTGCTTGGTGTTTTTAGAGTCCTAAGCCAGTGTCCTTTATTTTCTTTGCTGCTGGGAGAACATCCTGATGCACTGGGAGCATGTCAGCAGCTCAGCTCTGCTAAACACCAACCAGCATCCAGAGGGGGGCTGTTACCACAGACCACATCAGCTCCACCTCTCCCCCTGCAATGACTGCCACCAGTTTCAGCATGACCAGCTGCTTAGAAAAAACTTCTCAGCACATGCTAAGAACACTGCTCTGGTTTAGTGTTTTGTTTTGATTAAAATATGTCTGGAGAGAGAAGGAAGGAGAAGAGAAAAGAGGAAAGAAGAGGGAGGGGAGGAGAAAAGAGAAGGCAAATATGAAGCACTTTTTGAGTGCCAGTGGGAGAGAAGAGAAAAACTGCAAGTTCACAGTTCTCTGTGATCTGCAGGTCACTCACATAATCTCCCTCGCTATCCAGGCAAGAGACTGGTGAAAACCTGGAACAGTGGTCTTCTGAGTCCTGTTCTTTGGTAACATTTCACTGAGTGGCAGTACTTGGACATGGCAAGCCTATAAAACTAACAAGCACCTGTACTCATATGTGCTACCAGCCGTGTCTTCTCTTCCTCTTCTCTGTTGCACATTTCTCAGTGAAGAATAGGCACCAAGCTTTATGTCCTAGGTATGTGTGCTTTTCTTCTCACCCACCCACCCCCTTGCTGTGCTCTTGAAATCGACAGTTGAAAGTACTGTACGTCCCCGGTCTGGCTGAGGTAATTTGAGCTATTAATTTCTTTGTTTCCTCATTCTTCCTGCATGCCTTCTCCCTTCTTTTGTGCATGGGTCACAGGCAGGGGCTTGAATGATGTACTTGGGGCTCATGGAATCATAGAATTGTCAAAGTTGGAAAAGGCCTCAAAGATCATCCAGTCCAGTTGTTAACCCAGCACCATATTCACCATTAAACCGTGTCCCCAAGTGCTGTATCTACACATCTTTTAAACACTTCCAGGGATAGTGATTCTGCACTTTTCTGGGACCCTTGTTCCACTGCCTGACCATCCTTTCAGTGGGGAAATTGCTCCTAATACTCAATTTAAACCTCTTGTGACATAACGTGTGTTTAATACTTATCTGGGTTTTGGATCTGGGAGATGTCATGTTAACCTGTGGCCAGACCCCACTCAGATGCGCCCAGCTGATGGAATGCAGAATCTGGATTTGGCCTTGGCAGCTCACCGGAAAGTTTTGGAGTAGGGATATTGCCTGGTGATTATAGGACAAGGTGGCATAGTTTGCTGCTCTGCATGGGACATGCCCTGGAAGTGGACATGAGAAGTGTGAAAAGGTGATTTTCAGGACTGTTGGGGCTGTACTGCATTTACTCTCTATGGGCTGAGACTACTCAAGAAAAGGAAAGAAGACAAATTGTCTTGAAGCAGGTATTGCAGCTGATTACGTACTGGTTGGAGGAGAAACCCTGAGCAGATTTGGCTGGCCAAAGTGTGGCCTGTGCATGGTTAATCTGATTAACTGATTAAGACTGATTAACAAAAGGGGGGAATATGGTGTTCTTCAAAGGCTCATCTGTGTTCCAAGGATGTGCTTCAGGCAGAGTGTAATCCTCGGTATTTACTATTCAGATCACTATGAAAGTAAAGTAGGGAAGTGCTGTTAGCACAGGGCTTCAGAGAGACAAGCTATGTCTCTCCTTTGTATTCCTTTTGCACTTTGAGAACTACTGTTGGTGTCAGTCACCTTCAGACTGCTGCAAGTCAGTAGGAGTGTCATCAGAATTCATCTTTCCTGTTGTGTGGCAAGATTGCCCTTACCAGTTGTTACTGTGACAACCTGACCAGAAAGCACTCCACCTCAAGGAATCCATTTGCAAGGCAGCTGGTGAAGAAAGCCCACAACTTTCCCTCATGAAGTTGTAGCTCAGCTGGGAAAGTTGAACTCCAGTAATTTCAACGGGCAACATCAGTGCAGCCTATCTCCCAGTCCTACTTAAGTCCCAGACTTAAGCTGCATCCTTGTCTCTCTGCAGACACATCCACTGCAGTGCCTTTTGACAGCCTCCTCTACCACCTGGGCCTACAGATCATTGATCATTCATTCTTGGGCTATGGGGGAGTGAGGATGCTCTCCTGATCAAGACTAGGAATATGGCTGAGAGTCAGTTTTGCAGGTAGTTCCAGAGTAGGAAGCTGTAGAAGGGCAAGTCTGGCAAAACTTCTCCAGCTGTTTGTTTTGTTGCACTCATTTGTTGCCTCAGGAAGAGCTACCAGTTGTTCCTGGTGGTACAGGTGCACAGAAGCCTCATGGTCTTGTTATGCCAAACCAAGGACTATTTTGCCTGCTTTGGACCAAAGATGGCAAGTTGCTGTCAACAAATCTCACATGCTTTTCTTTAGGCTAGTTAGTTCAGCTCTCCTAGTTTAAAAAAACACACTACACACACACACACACACACACACACAAAATCCCTCCAAAAAACAAAGAAAAAAATGAAAACCAAACAAACTTGTTCCTCTGAAAATGTTGTTTTGTATCTTTGCACTGTAAACACTGGTCAGATCCTTTTTATTCCTTTTCCCTTCCTGTGTAGCAGCTGTTTGCCCAGGTGGCAGGATGTAGTGGAAGCTCAGCTTGCACAGCTTGCAGGGACTGTTGCCTCTGTCAGGGATGCTATTTGGGTTTGGGGCAAGATCATCACAAACTTGTAAAGGAATACTGGTTTTGTGCCTACATTCTGCTGGGCTTTGTTCTGGCATTTAATTCTGCATGTCCTGAGTTTCCTGCATCTGTCTCCTAACCTCATGGTTATGGGGGAATAGTTGTATTTGGGAGACTTGGAGGCAAGGCAGTGTGTCTCATGAGAGCAGCAGCAGTGCTGTGTGAGTCAGAGGACTCTGAGTTACAAATTACCCAGAAGATCTTTCATCTGTGGTCATCTGATTGCAGTGATTCACTTGTGTCTGCTTGTCCTGGACCCTGATGAAGTGCATTTCTGGGGCAGTGATTTGGGTGACCCAAAGCAGCAAGGAACACGCTGTATTGACTTAGTGAGACTAATGTTTCCTGAGGGGAGAGGATCTTGTCCTGTCCTGTCAAAAGAGAGTAGAGTTGTTAGGTTATGGTGCTGTGAACTTGGACAGCTATGAGCTCATGTTTGATCTACTGCAAATCAGGGAAAGCTAAACTTCAAACAATTACACAGTCATAGAATGGTATGGATTGGAAAGGACCTTAAGATCACTTGCCATAGGCAAGCACGTCTTCTTCTAGACCAGAACTCCATTCAGCTTGGCCGTGAACATGTCCAGGGATGGGACATCTACAGGTTCTACAGGCCAGCCTGTTCCAGTGCCTCACCAGCCTCACAGGAAACTTTTTTCCTAATTGTAGGAGCATCAGGGGGTAGGACAGTTGGGATGGATGGAGACAAGAGATCTCTGAAGCCAGGTCGTGGAACTTGTGGTTTATTGCAAAGGGCATGGGTACAGCTTCCTACCTGCCGGCCGCAGCTTGGAGCAGGCCTGAGAGAAGAGAGGG